AAAATCAGAAGCAATCTACCAAAAAAGCCACAAAGGTGAGTGAGTTGAGCAGAGTTGTAAGACTCAGCACGTGAAAACCAAATGTTTCCACACACACTACACTTGTCAGCTGTTTGCTGCAGCCCAGAGTACACGACAAAGTCTAGCAATGGACAATTAAAAAACGAACTCATAATTTTCTAAAATCATTCCTGACAGCATCAAAAATGAAATGCTGATAAATTTACTCAAATACGTGTATGACCTTACACTGCAAAAACAAACTTTGCTGAGAGAAATTTTAAGACCCATAGAAGCAGAAAGATACTGCTGGAGACAATTTCCCATTGGGTCACTTGTATTTCTGCACGACTTACAGAAGACTGATAACTATTATTCTGCAAAGAAGACAGAGGTACCATCTTTGGATCAGAGAGCAGGTTTGTTTACTGTCCAGTATTATTATAAAGAATGTATTCCCCCAGGACAAGGGTCAGGTATCTTTGCTGGCTGGGGCAACATACAGAGACACTGTTTCTACAAAAAACTTTTTCAAAAGGGGACTGGGTGTGGTGGCTCACACCTGTAACCCTAACTCTGGGACACTAAGGTGGGTGGATTGCTTAGCTCAGGAGTTCAAGACCAGCCTTGAAAATAGAAACACTTGGCTTGGAGCCTGTATCACAGTGGTTATGGCACCAGCCACGTGCACTGGGACTGGGGGTTTTAAACCTGGCCTGGGCCAGCTAAAACAACAATGACAACTGCAACAACAACAAAACAACAGCCAGACATTGTGGTGGGCACCTGTAGTCCCAGCTACTCAGGAGGCTGAGGCAAGAGAATCACTTAAGCCTAAGAGTTTGAGGTTGCTGTCAGCTATAACACCGTGGCACTCTACTGAGGGCAACATAGTGAGACTCTGTCTCAAAAAATAAAATACAGTGAAATAAAAATTGTAGCCAGGCATTGTAGCAGGTACCTGTAGTCCCAGCTACTCAGGAGGCTGAGGCAAGAGAATCACCTAAGCCCAGGAGTGGGAGGTTGCTGTGAGCTATAACGCCATAGCACTCTACTGAGGAGGACTAAGTGAGACTCTGTCACTAAAAAAAAAAAGAGAGAGAGACTCTGTCTCTACAAATTAGAAAAATGAGGCAGGTGTACGGGAGCATGCCTATAGTCCAACTACTTAGTAGGCTGAGGCAAGCAGATCACTTTAGCACAAGAGTTTGAGTTTCCTTTGAGCTACGACACCACAGCACTCTATCCCAGGCAACAAAAGGAGACTCCATCTCAAAAATAAAAAGACAAACCAGGTGTGGTGGCACAAGCCTGTGTTACCAGCTACTAAGGTGGCTGTAGGAGGATTGCTTAAGTCCAGGAGTTCAGAGCTACGGTGAGCTATGATCATGCCACTGCACTCCAGCGAGGGTAACAGAGCAAGACCCCATCACTAGAAATATTTAATAATAAAAGAATTCTCAAGTAATAAAACTCAACTCACTTCTTACCTCACACCTTACACAAAAATTATGAGTTATCAAACTAAACATAAAATGTTCAAAATCTAAAGCTTCTAGAAGAAAATATGACACTAGCCCCTTGACTAAAGGAGGACATTTTTTAAGTCACAGAAAGCAAGAGAAATAAAACAAACAAAAAAAAGATGGACAGGCTTGGCTCCTATAGCTCAAGCGGCTAAGGCACCAGCCACATACACCAGAGCTGGTGGGTTCAAATCCAGCCCAGGCCTGCCAAACAATGACAACTACAAACAAAAAATAGTTGGGGGCGGCACCTGTGGCTCAAGGAGTAGGGTGCTGGCCCCATATGCCAGAGGTGATGGGTTCAAACCCAGCCCTGGCCAAAAAAAA